TTAGGCGTGGTCCCACATCGCTGGAGATGTCAGCGTTGGCCTTGCTCGTGATAAAAGTGCCACGAAGCGCTATTTCCTGCTCTCAGCCCACCACCTCGCCTTCTCTGTCGCTCTCCTGGCCCAGGCCCATCAGTATCAGGTCTGTGCTGTCCCAAACCGCACTTACCTCGGGTCTTCAAGCTCACACCGGCTCGTGATGCCACGGAGAGGGCTCCGAGATTGTCCCCGGTGGACCCCATCCGAGCCGATTGCGAGGGCATTACGGAGGTCATTGTCGGCGCCACCGACCGTGAAATGTCTCGTCCCGCAGCCCTCATGCACTAGGCTCATGGATGCAGTCATAATATGTAGGCCTTGTCTCCCGAAGTTTGGAGCAATAGCCGCAAATAGTACTTTTTGGCACTTCATCGCGACACGTCCAGGTGCCGACAAAGCGGCTTCCCAGCTCACCACCTCGCCTTCTCTGTCGCTCTCCTGGCCCAGGCCCATCAGCAGCAAGTCTGAGCCGTCCCAAACCGCACTTTTTCTTGGGTGATGAAGCTCACTCTGGCTCATACCACGGCTCTGCAGCCTCACACACGCCCGTTTCAGCCACAGACACCGCCGGCACGCACTCCCACTTCACACACGCTCAAGCACAACCCCATCAAATCACATCCCTGCTCAGAATGGGCAAGGGCTACCACCTGGTGACCCTGGTAGCCTCTGGCTCGCCACTGCACTCGGCTCCTCTGCAGCGGTCTCGGCTCTCGCCACCACAGCACGCCGACGGCAAGCTTTGACGCCCGTCTGGTGGACCTGCTGTGGCCACAGCCGCCCCTGACATGCATCTCGCACCATGACTCGACACCGGGCCCGCTCAGCTTGGTCGTGGCGGCGTGTGTGAAGGATGCGCGGCCGAGCCGCTGGCTGGCGCCGCTTGAGCGTCCGAGATGGCCGCAGCAGAGGCCACGCGTCGCGCCGCCGGCCAATCCCAGCCTCTCGGCGGTCGAGTTGGTCGAGCTGGCGGGCGGAGAGCCGCCAAGAGGGCAGCAGCGGAGCGTGAGAGGCCGTGCGAGCTTGCGCTAGCGCAAGCGCTAGCGCTTCGGGCGATTTCAATAGGCGGCCGCCCTTGGCCTTTAAGTCAAAACGTGGAGCCGGCCCGGGGCACGGAGGCCGGGCGGAGGGGCTTTGAAAATGGTGACGCCGTCGCCAAGTGGGAGTGTGTGTCCCTTTCCCTGCGGACGCGCACCCTCCAGGGCTATAGGGCTCTCTTGCCCGCAACCCGATCCCGATCATCTGGCCCGCTGGGTGTGTGCTTCTTAGCCCCCCGGCTCTGGGGGAGCTGGGTGTGAGGCTAATCCTAATGACTGCACTCTCCAAGTGCTCCAAGGTCGGTCTGTCGCTCTACCGGTGGCCCTCTGACACGTTCACCCACAAGGCCAGCGAATGCGCACCCCCTCCACCGCCCACTCCCAATTTCCGCAATTCGCGCAATCAGTCCACACACGCAATCGGTCCACACTCTCCTCTCGCTGCTCCCGCGGCGCTCAGTAGCCGCCCTCGAGCCGCTGCCAGCGCCACACCGCAAAGTCATCGGCGGCGAGGCGGCGGAGCGACTGGGCGGCGCACAAGCCGCCGGCGACGAGGAGGGCGAGGAGGGCGTGCAAGGAGACGCCGTTGGCGAGGGGCGTGTGCATCCGGATCGGGTACGCGGCGAGAGGCAAGCAGCCCAGCCACGCGAGCGCGAGCCGGCCGAGGTAGCCGCACGCGACGACGTTGATCACGCCAGACAGCACCGCGTCGGCGGTTGTCGGAAGCGGCGGCTGCAGCAGCGGCGCCAGCGAAGAGAGCGTGCGGGAGGGCGCGCCGGCGGCGGCGCAGATGAGCCACAGCTTTGCCTGCAGCACGCAGCAGGCGAGAAGCAGCGCGTCCAAGTCCCACTCCCAAAGAGGCACCTAGGTAGTGTTACAGGTAGCACTCCTGCTCTCGTGCAGCGCCGGCGAGGGTGGCGGCGTGTTTCGCTCCCGCGCGCGCGAGAAGAGAGGCGCAAGGAGGACTGGGAGGAGAGCGGCCGGCAGAAAGGGCAGGAGGGACACGCGCAGAGAGAGAGAGAGAGAGAGAGAGAGAGAGAGAGAGAGAGAGAGAGAGAGAGAGAGAGACGGGGGAGGCAGGAGGGAGAAGCTGCAGTGGGCAGCGCCACCAGCCGCATCGAGGCGCAGACGAGGAGCGGCTCCACGACCAAAGAGCGGAGGGCGCGGCCTAGCCCCGCGCCTGCAGCCGAGGTGCAGCCGAGGTGCGGCCGAGGTGCAGCCGAGGTGCGGCCGAGGTGCAGCCGAGGTGCGGCCGAGGTGCAGCCGAGGTGCGGCCGAGGTGCGGCCGAGGTGCGGCTGCGAGATCTCTCGCCTATATCTCGGCTAGATCTCGCACCGACCCGCGCCGCGAGGTGCGACGCCTCCGCGACGACGGCTGCCGCGAGCGACTCGTCCCCTTCGCCGTGGCCTCGCCGCCACCGCTCCTTGTGCCGGCCCCGCCCGCCTGAGGCGCGAGATACAGCCGAGATACAGCCGAGGTATAGCCGAGGTATAGCCGAGGTATGCCGAGATGCAGCCGAGATATCGCTCGCCCGGTGTCTGTCTCTTCCCGAGTGTCCGTGGCCGCGCAGGGGGAGGGGGGGGGGGAGGTGTGTGTGTGTGTGTGTGTGTGTGTGTGTGTGTGTGTGTGTGTGTGTGTGTGTGTGTGTGTGTGTGTGTGTGTGTGTGTGTGTGTGTGTGTATGTGTGCGTGAGTGTGTGTGAGGGAAGAGAGCCCGACAGAGGCGGTGAGGCGGGGGTGCAGTGCCCATCTACGGCCGCCCGCCCCACAAGCCCGCAAGCCAGGCACGCGCGCGGCGCGCCGCCGCCCGCACAAGCTCCAGTGGGCCACGGCCTTCCCCGCCAGCGCGGCCGCCGGCATCGCCTCTTCCGCTGGTGGCGATCCGCCGCCGCCTCCCGGCGGATGCATCGCTCTACGAGATGCGGCCGAGATCTCTCCGTCAGGGAACCGAGAGGACCCGCCCCCCCCCCAAGGCTTCGCCGCCGCCTCCGCGCCGCCGTAGTCCGACGCCGCGAACACGGAGCGCACCCCAAACGGCGCGCCTGCTCTCGGCCAGCCTCGGCTGATCTCGGGCCGATCTCGGCGAATCTCGGCCGATCTCCCAGATCCAAGCGCCCCAGCCTGCACCGAGGGAGGCGGCGGCGGCGGCGGCGGCCGTCGTCGCCGCCGCGCCCGCGCCCTCGGTGAATGGGAATCCGATGGTGTACTCCTCGACGGCGAGCGGCGAGGGCCTGGCGGGTGCACCGATGCAGGGTGCACAGATGCAGGGCGCACGGAGGCAGAGGAGGTGAGAGGGGGGGGGGGGGGTGCGGTGTGGTGCGGTGTGATCAGAGCAGCGCGTGGGTAAAGACGGCTGTGGATTCGAGACGTGACTGCGGCTGACCACAGCCAAGCACGTCTCGTCTCGAGCGCTGGTTGGAGTACACGTGGTTGTGTGCCCGCATCTAGGGGCCGGAGGCATGATGGAGCGGAGGAGCGGCTGCAGCGGAGGAGGCACCAGCACCTTGCAGAGGGGCGTGGGACAAAGCAGCAGTGTGACCGCGTGCGTGTGGGCTCGTCGTCCGTGCCAGGACGTGTGCACGATCTGGACTCAAGTGCCCTCCCCCCGCCCCACCCCCCCGTGCTCGAGAGCGCGCGCCTCGTCGAGCGCCCGGTCGAGGGAGAGCGCGTCGCGGATGAAGCCAAAGGCGAGGAGGAGGAGGATCTGTCCCTCCCAGAGGGCGAGCTGCAGCGCGCCCAGCGCCAGCAGCCACCGCAGCGCCAGGCACTCGAGGTGGCCGCAGTCGGGAGCATCGAGGAGGTGCCTCCACCCCCGCGAGGCGGCGGCGCGAAGGTCGGCGCCGCTCCAGCGCCGGCGGCCGAGCAGGCAGCTGAGGAGGTAGGAGAGCAGGCCGGGGGCGCGGAGCCCGCGAAAGGGTTGCTGGCACACACTGCAGACTGCAGAGTTGAGATTAGCGCCGTGCGAGTACTTGAGCCAGCGGAGAAGGCACTTGGTGTGCACAAACTCGAGCGAGCCGCGGCAGCCGCACGGCTTCACGAGAGGAGCGTCCGGGTACGCGACGTCGCGGCAGATGCGGCACTCGGGCTCCTCTTCCATGTCCAGAACGGGGCGCCGCGCGCTCAGGAGCGCTCGCCGCTCGCAGGCCAACTCCTCCGTCTGTGCGAGCGGGTTCCAACTTTTTGGGGGGTATGGTATGGTAGTGTCACGGCCCAAAGGGTGGGGGGGTATGGTCCTGACCGCCCATCCCCGGTCTCCGGGAGGCTGGGTCTGTCAGCAGGCGGGGGGGTATGGTCTCGAGGTGGGTTGCGTGAGCCTACCATACCATACCCCGCAAAAAGTCCGAACCCAGGTTGAACTCGATGCCGCAGCTTCACAGCCTCCGCCGTGAAGCTTCCAGCATGTCGAGGGCGGACGCGCTTCGGCGCCATGGTTTTGGCGCAGCGCTTCGCCGGCTGTCATCCCAGTCCATTGGTCGCTCCACAACGATTCCCAGGCGTGCCCGCACGCTCCTCAGGGGAGTGGGCACGCCTCTTGCTATCCTGAAGCGCGCGTCAAGCCCGCTCGACCGTGAGCTTGCTCAGCGAACAGTTTTTCAACAGACGTTGAGCGACGGGCCTGAATGAATCTCCCACACACTCGCCAACTCCTGACTGAGCAGGCCTAGTACCCACGTGATAGCCCCATGCGCGATCAGGCGCCGCTCGGACCCCGATCGCTCTCTCTTCCCTTCGCTCGGCGCCTCGCTCCTCGCTCGATGAGCGGCCCGTGGTCGCCGTGAGAGCGCGCGTGGCGGGCGACGGCTCACCGATCGAGCGGACGCGGTCGCGCTGCGCGAGAGTGGGGGCGGCGGCGAGGCGAGCAAGCCACCCGGTAGACGGCCCGCCCCGCGCGCGTTTTTTGCTTTTTCATCCCGCCTCCAACAACAACTACCAATTTCATCCCGCCTCCAACAACGAGGCCAAAATTCTGAATTCCACTCGAGTACACTCGCGTTTGGCGGCACCTTCCAGCGGCGAGCTATTGGCTTCATAACCGGGTGGACGGCCCCCGCTCTACCCCGCGCACCGGTTCCGGTGGAGGCTGCGGCGCGACGCTCAGAGATATGGCTCCCTGCGCGACGTACAGCAAAGTCTTCCGTGACCCGCACCTCAACTTTGCCTACGGTGGCGCTGCAGACTTTCGCGGGCGCCACAAGGCATTGTACAACTTCCTCTCCGCGCCTGGTCTATCGGTCAACGTAAAGACGGAGGGGACGGTCTTCAAGATGCACAAGGGTGAATTGACCGTGAACGGCACCTTCATCACCGAGGCGCACATCACAGCGCGCTTCTCCACTAACCGCAACGCGACCGCCTCCTTCTGGGCCTCCGAGCTCGATCGCAACAATTTCGGCTGGCAAGTCGTCACTGGGCACTGCGTCGGACGTCCCTTCAAATTTGGATTTCACGGCAGCAAGAGGTGCTACGAGCTTGACATGGCGATGGACTACAACCGAGCCAAGTTCCAAATCGGCAACTGGACCGTCACAGTCAGCGGCATGCCGTCCTGCGACACGCCAGTTGGGAGGTGCCTGCTCGCCGGGCCGGCGCACCGGCTCGACCTCGGCTTCAGCGCGAGAGGTGACGCACCTACCCGTGACAGGCCGCACGGCATCATTGGTGCGCGACTCGCACTGCGCGCCGTCCCTGGGGGCATCCCGGCATAGACACCCACTTTTTTTCACCACGTGCGCCCGCAGGCCAGTCGTACGCGACGCCGGGGCGGGTGCGCAAGGGCTCCGCCGACAAGTATCCATGGAGAGGCTTCTACACCACCACCGCCCAGGCTGAGGGCGCCATCGACGGTGTGGCGGCGGACTACGAGGTGCGTAGCGCCCACGCCACCGAGTTCGCCTTTTCGCGCTTTGACGCGGCAAAGGCCGAGCCCGTGGGAGACGTCGCCGCCACCGGGACCGATCCAGCGGTCGTCGATGCGTCCTCCATCGAGAAGGTGGCTAGCGCCACGGAGGAGGAGCGTCGCCTCAGCGAGGTGGACCATTTCGGCCGCGGTGACCTTTCACACATCATGAGGGCTGACTTCAGTGGCTGCCATCCGCCGTCTCCCCCGCCCCCCCCGCCCCCCCCGCCTATGACCTCGTGCTGGGAAAACGGGATCCCGGATGACTTTTGCAACCCGAATTACGCGACTCGAGTGTACAAGGACGATGCGCCCTCGGTGGTTCCGGCGATGGAACCGAATTACTTCCGGAGGACCGATGGCGGCAGACCCTCCATCTACTGGGGAGGGGAGTGCCTTCTCAATAACTACAAGTCCGCCGACCCATGCACCGAGTACGTGGAGCTGTACTCCGGCCACCGGCATTACAAGCACAGGTCAACAATGCACCAGGGAAAACGTAAAAACCCAGCGGCGGAACTCGACCCTCTGGCCTACGGGTGCCCTGGGGTGGGTAGCCTCGGAACGACTCGGAACGACTGGAATTCTGCGGCAGCGGCCGTTTCGCAAACCCGCGACTGTGCGCAGGCACCTGGAACCCTGGGGTCGTCTGCTGGCAACAAAGGCCCCTTTGCTCCCGGGGGGTACTGTCCGAAAACAGACACGGACCTTCAGGTTGGCGGCGACATGTTCGCGGGACTGTTTTGCGACACCATACCCACCAGCACCTACCGCGCCGGCAACGGCCAGGCTATTGATTGGATGGGCGAGGGCTGGTACCGATTCACGGGAGCCGCGGGGACGCGCATGTATGACGTAGCACTCGACGGGCCGGGAGTGTATTCCACTCCCGGGAGGACAGCTTGCGGTCCCGACGATTGCCCGTGCAGCGGCAAGCCCATTACCCTCGAGCGCGGAGGACACCCCTCGGTCGAGGACGGAGAGGTGGAGAGGATCCTTGGGCCTTGGAATGGGATGGGAGCGCAACAGAAAATCAAGATCATCAACTGCCCGGCAGGCTACTACGTGTACTACCTCCCAGGCGCAGTACTCTGCGACCAGAGCTACTGCGGCGCTGGCGAGGCCGAGCCGGACGCGAACGGTTTTGTCCCGCCCGAGTGAGGCGGCTAGCTTTGCCCGATACGCGTCTGGGGGCACGTCTCGGCAGGGCTGGCGCGACTGGATTCGTCCAGACAGGGACGGGAGGAATGGCACGCCGCCACCACACATAAGATTTAAGGAGAGGAGTGAGGGTGTGGTGCTTGCTAGCCGTCGCCCATCCTTGGGCGTCTGCCTCTTCCTATCTCTCTTCTCAGTCCCTCGCCAATCTCGGCCTCGCGGCGCACGGGCACTCTCGGAAGATCCGCGCCATTCTTTTTTTGTGTATAGTTCTTTTTCAAGAAAAGAGAGAGTTGTTTTGTTTAAATTCTTTTTCAAGCAGTGTGCGGTAGAATTATTTTTCAAGCGTTGAAAAATAATTCCCTGGGTTCGTCCGCGTTAGGGGAATTCTTTTGTTCGTTTGGTGTACCTGTGTTAGTGCCAGTGCGCGCCAGTCCCGTGCCCAGTGTCGTGCGAGGGAGCATGCGAAAATTCCTGTGTTAGTGCCAGTGGCAGTGCGCGCCAGTCCCGTGCCCAGTCAGTGTCGTGCGAGGGAGCATGCGAAAATTCCTGTGTTAGTGCCAGTGCGCGCCAGTCCCGTGCCCAGTGTCGACTGTCGTGCGAGGGAGTTTGGTTGTAAAATTCTTTTGTTCGCGGCTGCATGCTCGTCGATTCCAGCAAGGCTGTGCGAGGAGGCTGCTCTGCCCACCTGCGCGAGAAGGCTGCTGCCCGCCGCCGATCCGCTGCCCCCGGGCCGGCTGCGCAGCGACGCGCGCATCCGCTCGAGCTCGCGGAGCCTGTCCAACCAGTTTGAGACCTCCCTCCGCTGCTTTATCGGCTTTCCCATCGCCGCAGCCGCGGCGAACTCATCTGGCTTCTGGGTGTTCGCCGCGGAGCATGGCCTGCGCCGCGGCGACGAGCCGCCAGTCCGCCTTCTTCGACTTGATCAGGGCTGCAGCCTTGAGCGCAGCAACTGTAGCCTTCGCGTCGGCCTCGGCCATGCTGAGCTCTACCCGCCGAACTCACGATTTTGGGCGCTCAAAAAAAAGCGCCGACTTTGTGGTCTCGTCAAGATTTGCCCGACGGGAGGCGACATGGGGCTTCTGGGGGCGGAACAATTCACACCTCGCGCAACAACTTATGTTTTCGTAAACGTAGTCGTGGCCCCCCGCTACGTCGGACGAGTGCAACTGGGTACTCGCCGGCTGGCCTGGGCGTGCAACTTCAGTCGGCCTCAGTGGCGCGTGTTCTCACCAGAACAGTGCCTCCGCGGCGCTGCGGCGGCGCCCGAAAGGCCGATCCGACCCGGCAGCCCCCCGGAGCGTGCATCCAAGCGTCCGCCACCGCCGGCTCAGCCCCGGCTCGACATGACTCTGGCCCGCGCGGGGTCGCCGACGGCGCCGAGTCGGCGCCAGAGGCACGCCCGGCGGTCGGATGGTCGCCTCGAGCGCCGAGCGGCTGCCGCCACGGTCACTTACGCTCGAGTTGCGCCAGGTGCGCCTCTCGGCGGCCCGGCGCGGCCGCACGTGCTCTCTGTAGATGTCTGCTCTCGCTCGACGGTAGGCGTGCTCCGTGCTCTCGCCCGATTCTCTCCCTGCCGCCGGCCTCCGCCCCCGAGCGACCGCCGCCGCACACCGACTATTGCCGGTATGACTGCCGTCCCTCACTCAGCCGTCCGTTTGTCCTCAGCGCTCGCACGACCGACGTTCTTCCTCCTCTGCGGCCTCGCTCGGGCCCGCTCGTCGACACGCGCAACCAGCAGACGCCCGTGTCGGAGCTTCTGTGCCGGCTTGGAGCTTCCATCGCTGATGGGGGCACGCCCGGCCCGGCACTCTCGCACACCGTGGAGCGCGGCACCGCGCGCGCTCACGCCGCCCACCTTTGCTGCCTGCGCAGGCTCTGTCCCGGCGGCCCACTCATCGAGTACCTCACGGCTGCGCGGCGTCCGCACCACCGCGACCGGTGCGCCATCCCACATCACGCCTCTCGCCGACGTCCACCCGCGCATACACTCTCTCACTCTGTCATGAGTAGTCTTCAATCGACACGGTCTCTTGGAGTAGTCACATCAGCACCGGCGCCGGCACAGCGCACCGCTACACTCGCCTCCGTTAGGTTGCAAACATCGCCCTCAACATCCGCTTGCGCCTCACACGTCCGGGGGCAGTGTCGCGTGAGCCACAGCTTAGCACCGACGCCAGGCTCTTAGCTGTTAGCTCTACGTGTACGTGTGTGTGTGGTGGGGGGGGGAGGGCGGCGTAGTCAAAAGAAAAGCCTCAGTCGAGAGAGGCTAGTAGCCCCTTCGAGTGCGGGCTCCGCGCCCGTCTTGTCCTGGCATATAAGAGAGGCGAATGGGACAGGGGTTGAAGGGGTACACGCTTGGTACCCGGCCGTTTTTCGCGTTTCTCTACAAAACTGTGTCCAAGCCGAAGGCCCGAAGCGCAGGTCCGAGCTCGACATGCGACCAACGTGGTCCCGCACACCAGTGCTCGTGCTCGCACGTGCGGCCGCCTCTCCTGCTCGACTACTCGTGCTCTGCCTCTGCGCGCTCGCTGCGTCCGTGCCACTTCTTCGCTGCCTCTCGCCGCTGCTCCTGTCCTTGACTGCGCCTCGGGTCGAGGCGCCAGCAGCAGCGTCAATGGAGTGGCTGGTCCACACTGCAGCAGCGCCGCGGGCGGACGCGAGAAGGCAAACGCGACCGTGCCGATGAGCGCGAGCAGAAGCAGCGGGAGCGCGGGGCAGCACGACGGGTCGGGCAAGTTCTTGGCCCAGCGCCGCGCCTTGCCCATGCTGCCGCCGCCGCCGCCGCCGTCGGCGTCGCCGACCACAGGCTCGTCGTCCGGCGCGGCATCGTCGTCGGCGGCAGGGCGTGGGGGGTCGGCGGGCACGTCCTCGTCGTAGCCGTCGTCATCGGGATCAGGAGTGGCGTATCGCGCGGTCGACATGCCGGCGAGCTCGTCGACCGTCGAGTAGGTGCCTGCGACCGAGCACGGGGGTGCGTGACGCTCGGACCGACGCATGGGACCGGCTCTTCCGCGCGTCGAGAGCGGCGACGCTTTCGAGGCGCGCGGCAGAGGCCCGCGGCGTGCTTCCGAGCGCGTCCGCGGCCGCGACGCGGCAGCGGGAGGTGCCCCGCCCACCAAGGCAGCCGGCCCGGCCGCTGCGGGGCCGTCGCGGGGGCGCAGGCGGGCGGGGCGACCTCAGATTTCGCGGCTGGCAGCGGGCGCCGCCAGCCGGTAGGGTGGCCAACGCAACTTCTCTTAACGCTACGACCGCGTGCCTGATCGAGCTCTAGCCCCAAGGCTGGCACGCGTCCGAACTCGAGAGGCAGCGCGTGCCTGATCGAGCTCTGCAACGATGAGCCGACCAGCGATCGGCAAGCGGAAGCAGCAGCAGAAGCGCCGGCGAAAGGCCAAGCAGCGCAGTCGGCAGCCATCGCGCCACTCGAGCGGCGCAGACGCGGCCGCCGCGGCATCCAGCGCGACCGACAAGGCCACCGCTGCTGTGGCGGCGCTGGAGTACCTCCAGGCGTGGTGCCGTCGCGAGGAGGGCGGATGGAAGTTCAGCAAGGTACGGCAGAGTTACTTGCTGCGCGCGTGGCCCGACCCAGTCAAGCTGCCGCGCGAGGCCTTCGGCCTGCTGCTCTCGTACCTGCCGACGATGCACGAGGGCGCGATTGCGCGGACGCTAGAGCAGGCGACCGCGGTCGCCGCCGCGGCCGAGGAGGAGCGGAAGCGGCTCGAGGCGTGCCTCGACGAGGCGGAGAGGGCCGAGGACGCCGCCGAGGCGGACGAGGCTCAGCTGGCGGTGCTCAAGATTCGGCTGATGCGGGCGCTCAAGGTCGCGGCGGCGCTGGGGCCGGAGGAGGGAGAGGAGGGCTCCGAGGAAGAGGAGGGCGGCGATGAGGATGCGGGAGAGGAGTCAGAGGAGGGCGAGGAGCGCAGAGCGGAGTCTGGCTCGGAGGATATGAGGAAGAGGGAGACCCAGAGGACGTGAGACATCGACTCGCCGCCTTGTCGCTTGTGTGTCATGCTACATTCACACAAACAACCATCCCGTTTTGCGCTTAATGCTGCTGCGTCGCCGTGCCGCGTGGGATCGGCCTCTCTCGAGACACGAGAGATCGGCCTCTCTTTTTTTTGACTCTTCACGTGTCTCTATCGCGCCCCTTATCTCGCGGCACTCGGGTGGATTATCCGTCTAGCGTCTACGTCTATCGATCTCCTCTACGGACGGTGTGACTTGGAGCACTTGGAGTGCAGTCAGTAGAGCCGTCGACACCCAGGGTCGGGCCCGGGGAGCTAAATAAGATGTAAGAAGCGCGGGGACGCCAGGAGATCGCCGGGAGAAGCGCACCCCCAACTCCCGGCACGATGGCAAACCGGGTGTGAGCGAAGTCGCCTCTATTTGTCACTCGCCATGCGCGTCCTTGGCTGGCTCTCCAAAACTCCCTCCCCGCCGTTCGCGGCTCGGCTTGCGTATGCGGGTGGGAGCTTCGAGGACATGCAGGCGTCCCACCCCCTCCGGCCATCCCCCCGGCTCCCAAGTGCGCGGCCGTGACGCGCTGCGCACCCTCTTCCGCGCTGCGCCCGCTCTCGGCATGGCCGTCGTCCGCCGAGATCACCTCCTCTTCGCGCCGCAGGTGCACAACCAAGGGCTGGCCACCTCCGTATCCATCATGGTGAAGCCAATGGCAGCCAAAAAGGGAGAGCGCTCCCCTCCCAGGTGGCCGGAGGGTACACCTCGGGTCGGCGTGCTGGGGGGGGCGCTGGTGCGCAAGCCCACTTTCCGGGCGCCCCCGAGGGGGAGGAGGCCGGGCGAGTGGCAGCAATTCACTGATATTGTCCCGGGCCGCTGCGGCACCGTTTATACGGCCCCTCGTGATGTCCCTTTCCGATTTTGCATTGTGAGTCGTCCTCTGGCCAGCCGAGGGGCACCAGAACGGCATGTGTACTGCTGCTGGCTGCGGGTGCGGAACGGGCTTTTTTTAACTCGCAACCAAGCATACTATACAAGGACACCCTCGGGGGGACACTCGGCGCATGTGCGACGCGTCAGGGTGGAGTTGGCGGTGGCCGAGCGTCGTCTCCCAATCGACTCGCAGCGCGGAGTCGAGGGGTGAAGCGCGTCGCGCTGCGACACTCGAGAGCCGGCGGGATGGCCGTAGGGCGCAGCCGACTTTGATGTCCTCGAAGGTCCGGTGAGCATTCGTCCTCTAGACCCACGCGTACAGGAAAGGGGCGAGAACGAGGCCTTTTGAGGCGGACATTTTGGGGCGACATCCACCCCCGTGACGAAAACGAACACACACCAAGCGCTAAGCGTGAGGACACGAGTTCGAAATTCGTAGGAGCATCTGAGCAAAATTGAGCCCGCTCAGGTGTGAACAAAAAGTATAAGGGTCGACCAGGTTTCGAACTGGGGACCTCCCGCCAGCGGGAAGGCTTCCAGCAAGATACGCTGGATTGAAAAGGAGGTCACAGTTCGGGAAACCTATGTAGCATACCGCGGGAATTAGACACCACAGAACGCACACACCGACGCCCGAAGTGCCAAGAAGGACGTCATCAGTACGAAACCTCAGAAGGCCATGGGCGCCGAGAGAACATTCCCCCGAGAGGACAAAAGAAAAAGGCTTCGCACCCCCTCCTTGCGCAGTGACCCTCGCTAAGTGTCGCCGTTATCGGGGCACGCTATCCTGCGCAGGCAGGGCGAGCCGGGGGCGGGGGGCACTCCCCCTGGTCTGATACTGGGGTGTGACTGTCTCCAGTCTCGGAGGGGGGCAAAAAGATAAGAATATCTAATTTTGGGGCGACATCCTGGCGCGTTCGCCGTTCCACACAGTGGGGTAGCACACGTGCGCAGCATAGCGTCCTGTTTACCCCGCGTTAAGAGCTCGCGTATATTGGTTTAGCTGTTTAACTTTAAGGGATCGGGTTACGCGGGCGCTAGAGAGCCCTAGCCCTGGGGGGTGCGCGTTCGCAGGGAAGGGGCCATAAAGTAAACACGGTTCTCCGAGGGTTAGTACCGCGCTCCGGGTTTCCCCCCTAGAGTGACGAGACTGTGCGCTCGTGAGACGCGTGACGAGCTGACACGACTGTGACTCAGATCTCGCGAATGCGCGAGTCGTAAACATCGACTCGTTTGCGACGCTGCAGCTAGCGAGCGGCGTGCAAGGGGCCAGCATGTGCTGCCCCATCGGCCCAACATCACCTCGGGCCGCGACCCTGGTGTGCTTGCTCAGTACGTGCCAGCTCACTGCAACTTCGAGCCCTGCCAAAAGTCGGCGCCGTTTGGCTCGAGAAAGGCGAGCCACTGCTCGGGTGTCCACCCGCTGGAGACGATGCCCGCCTCGAGCCCGTTGACGTGCACCGTCGGAGTGACGTGCACGCCGCGCGTTCGGTGGTGCTTGCAGATCCATTTGACTGCCTGCGTCACCTCGTTGCCCACGTTGTTGCCGTCGGCGGAGGCGCGCATCGCGAGCTTCGCCGCCGTCGCGGCGCGGTCTACCCCGACGGACGCCGCCAGGTCGCACAGCTCGGCGTTGATCTGCGTGCGTGACTTCTCCCACGTGTCGCGGTCGGTGAACTTACCCTTGTCAAAGCACTCGTAGATGGCGCCAATGTAATTTGGGTACAGATCCGGCGCGACCTCCTTCACCGCGAGAGCCGCCTCGTGCACGTACGAGCCCTGCGCGTGCCACGGCTGAGGCACCTGGTGCAGCACAAAGCACGCTCGGTCGCCAGCACGCTCGATCACCCTGCCCTCGGTGAGTGTGACAAACATCTTGCGCGAGAAGGGACAGATGAGGTCGAGGAACATCTCAACACGCACAGGTGAAGCGGCGGCCGCCGAGTTCAGCACGTAGCCGATCGCAGTCGGAGACAGTGGCGGCCCCATTAGTCTCAGAGCCAGCACTGCCGAACGAGCGTATGAGCTCAACGCGGGTCGACAGGGTTCCAACTTTTAGGAAGGTGGGGGGGGAAATCGGCCCACGGCAGACGTACGTCCGTTACACGCCCAAATAGGGGGTAGGGGGTAGGGGGTAGGGGGTGACGCCCAACCCCCCGACTTACTCTACCCTACCCCCCTCGCGCCTCGAACCCTGGCGGCACCGCGGGTGCACTAACTTCCGAGAAACCCTTCGGCACGCTCCTCGTCGCAAACCCCGTCAGCAGTCCTCCTCCGGGAATGTACGTAAGTCTAAGAGCTACACACACTAAATAAATAAACAAAACGGACTGCAGATGGGTAAAAAGGAACAGGTCCCCGCCCGTGCGATCTTCGTATGACACACACTGAGAGAGAGAGAGAGAGAAGAGTGGTTTGCAACACAAAACTCCTTAGGGACCCCTAGGCTTAAAAGGGTGGCCCTGGGGCGCCTGCGGCTTAAACGGCTTGAAACTTGC